GGATGGTCTCGATCTCTTGACCTCGTGATCCACCCGCCTCGGCCTCCCAAAGTGCTGGGATTACAGGCTTGAGCCACCGCGCCCGGCCCTATATTTTTTCTCTTTAAAATTTTCTTTGATTTATGTTGCTCTATTTCCCAATTTCATATATTCCTGGGGGGAAAAAACCATACTTTTTCTTAATGGTTTGTTCTTTTAATATGAGACTGGATTTTATTTGCTAATATTTTATTTAATATTTTTGCATCGAGAAATGAAATGATGTCTTACCTGTTTTGTCCTTTGTTTCCCAGTGGATCTGTGGAAGCTTGTAAAAGACAGTCTGGCTAGATGATATACTGAATACTGATAAAAATCAGGATTTGTCGGAAAATAAGTTGTAATCTTAAAATCCTGACACATTAAGAATTGAGATATATAGATCAGGGGGCTTGTGCGAAGTTTTTTTGTTTGTTTGTTTGTTTGGAGGAGTCTTGCTCTGACACCCAGGCCAGAGTGTAGTGGCTCCATGTTGGCTCACTGCAACCTCTGCCTCCCAGGTTCAAGTGATTTTCCTGCCTCAGTCTCTCCAGTATGTGCAGAGTTCTTATGTCAGAACACAGCTAAGTGACTGTTAAGACCCTGTGGGTTTTCTTTCCTTTAAACTGTGTCTCCTTTGTTTTTTTGGCAGTGGAAATAACAGGAAACACATGAAAAATGCCATGATTATAATGTCTGTGAGGAGAGAGCAAGGCAGTTCTTCAGGGCAGGTAAACATGTTTATTGCTGTTAGATCTTGAGAAATGTCTTACCTTTAGAGAGCTTTTGTGGTTGACAGTGTCTTCAAATTCAGACTCGTAATAAAGGCATGGGACATTTTCTTTGGCTTTTTCCTATTATTTAGTGGGGTAAGCTAAGGAAAACTGGATTGGACAAAATTCTTTGGAAACTGTGCCTTGAAAATACAGGCTTCTGGTCATCTGACTTTGCCCAGGAATAAACCTGGAGCATCCAGTAGAATTAATGGGCTGCTTAACCTTTGAATGATCCTCCATGAAGAAGAATTCTCTCAACCATAACATATCAATACCAACCATATTTTTGTTACTAATACAGCGGAGACAACTAAAAGCTCCATTCTTTGGTAACAGCTTGGAATGCAGATACTGACAGTGCTTCTTTCTTACCTTTTTAACTCAAGGTTCAAAAAAGCACCAGTTATGCTTGTTTTGGTTTTTTGTATGTTAACAACTGAAATGATACATAGCTACATTTGCATGCAAGAGATTCAAGGAAACAGAAGCATTTATATCAAAAGACACTATCTCCTTTCACCCTTTTTCTGCCCAAACTTCAACCCAAAGGGTAATAAGTGGTGATAGTTTTGGGTCTCTATCCAGTTCCTCCCTGTGATTGACATGTGATAGAATATATTTATATACATTTCTGTATACATACATGTATGTACTTACACATGTAGAATTGTGTATATTATTACCTTTTTTTTCTTTAAATGGAACCTTGCTCTGTTGCATAGAGCTGGAGTGCAATGGCGTTATCTTGACTCACTGCAACCTCTGCCTTCCGAGTTTGAGGAATTCTCCTGCCTCAATCTCCCCAGTAGCTGGGATTACAGGCGTGCACCACCACACCCTGCTAATTCTTGTATTTTTAGTAGAGATGGGGTTTCACCATGTTGGCCAGGCGGGTCTGGAACCCCTGACCTCAGATGATCTGCCCTCCTTGGCCTGCCAAAGTGCTGGCATTACAGGCGTGAACCACTGTGCCCAGTTACATTATTACATTTTTTTTTTAACATGTCTTAGATCATATATTATTTGGGAGCTTAATTTTTTTTCATTTAAGAGAAAGCCTTGGAGATCATTGATAGGCATATGTATACGTATACATCTGCTTCATTGATTTTAACATTTTTGTAGTATATTATAGCATGGAGGTGCTGTAATTTAACCCTGTCTGTGTTTGGTAGACATTTAGATTATTGATAAGGTTTTCATTATTAGAAACAAAGGAATAATGAACATTCTTATTGCACATTGTTTCATATCTATGCAAATACTGCCTTAGTGCTTTTTGAGAGTGGGAAGAATTAGTGGAATTCCATGGTCCTATGGTATGTGAAATAGTTGTGTTGTGCATAATTTGTCATGGAGAAAAGGATCAAGACATGTCTGTGTCCCTCTTTTCTGCATCATCTATTGTTATCCACTTCAGATTTTATTGGAATTGTTATTATAGGGATTATTGTCATTCGAAGATGTGGCTGTGGACTTCACCAGGGAGGAGTGGCAATTTTTGGACCCGTCTCAGAAGGTCTTGTACAAGGAAGTAATGTCGGAGAACTACAGAAACCTCGTATCAGTAGGTGAGGACAGCATTACAGTCACTTAACTTTTCTTCCTTATTTGGTAACCTCTGTACAGTCTCTTAGATAGTTAATGGTTTCGACTAAAGCATTGTATATCATAGATTTTTTTTGTTATGGCAAAATATATAACATAAGATTTATCATCTTAACCATAAGTTTGCAGTTCAGTGGGATTAAATGCATTCACAATGTAATGCATCCACCACCACCACCACTACCATCTGTCTTTTAAAACTGAAACTCTGTACTCATGAAACAATAACTACCCATTCCCTCACTTCACACCAGCCCCTGGCAACCACCATTCACTTTCTGTCTTTAGGATTTTGACCTAAATACCTTATATATTTGTGTCTGGCATATTTCACTTAGTATGTTGTTCTCAAGGTTTATCCATGTTGTAGCATGTGCCAGAATTTCCTTTTTAAGGCTGAATAATATTCTTATGTATGTATATACCACCTTTTGCTTATCCACATATCTGTTAAGGAACACTGGGTTGCTTCCGTGTTTTAGCTCTTGTGAATCATGTTTCTATGAATATGGGTGTACAAATATCTCTTTGAGACACCGCTTTCCATTCTTTGGGGTATATAGCCAGAGGTGGAATTGCTGGGTGACACGGTAATTCCATTGTTAATTTTTTGAGAAACAGGTTTCCACAGTGTCAGTACCATTTTACATTCCCACCAGGAGTACACAGGATTCCAGTTTCTCCACATCTTTGCCAACAATTGTTATTTTCTGTTTTGTTTTTTGTTTTTGATAGTAGCCATCCTAATGGATATGAGTGTCATGGACTTGTATTTTCCTCCCTGGCACAAAGTGGATGTGCTCTTCTCTTGAGTGAAGATTTTTACTTTATCAAAGTACAAATGCTGTGATTCCTGAGACATAACTCTCTCCATTTTCATTGATTCCCCAAGCATACATGCCAAGCGTTTAGTGATTTCTTGTTTACAGGGTATCAAGGCACCAAGCCAGATTCACTCTTCAAGTTGGAGCGAGGAGAACCCCCATGGATAGTAGAAGGAGCAGCCCGCTGTCAAACCTGTCTAGGTAAGGGAGTGAAAACTAAGAAAATGGGGAGAAATGGCATGAAAATCCAAGCTGGTCACAAAATGGTCGATGCTTTTAAAATGTTCTTTAGAGGACTTTACACTAGTTGGTGGCCCAGTAACCTAGTCAACAGCCTTTCTGCATCTGTGTCCACCCCAATATAGCTGTCCTTTCCCTGCTCTCAAAGGATCATGTCTTCCTTTCTTCTATTTTCTGGATCTGATTTCAGTCCATGTCCTTGAATTCTTACCTGGTTCCATTCTTCCCAGCCTGTTCCCAGCTTTTCTCTTCCTGCTCCCTACTTTGCTTGCTTTGAAGTTCCTCTCAAAACCCATCTGGATTGTGTTGCTTTTAGTACTTCTGTCGCTTAAGCATATCCCGGCCCCATTGGAAAGGGCTGATTTCCTTTACTGAAAGTCATTTCATCTTAACTCACGTGAAAGCCCTCACACCTTGTCTGTCTGGGGTCTCTGTTGACTTATTCACCTCCTACTTCCCTACCTTCCCAGCTTCTGTTTTCTTTTTATCTTCTCCTGATTCTCCTGGTAGAAGTTTAATTTATTCTGAAGGCCTGAGCTCCCTGTCCTCTGCTGGAGACTTGCAAATTGATGTCTCTGCTACTAATGTCTCGTCTGCACTCTAACCCTCTGTGTGTTGCCAGCCGTCCAAATATTTCCTTCTTCTAGTATGTGAAACCAGGATCCTCCTTTCTCCCAGATGTTTCTACTATCATATACTCATGTGTAATAAAGATTTCAGCTGTGTCTTCTGACAAATAGCCTCATGTGGATATCTCCCTTACTGTTATCTCACCTACCTTCTTGTTCTGTATTTTGCCAGCACCCAGGACGATTATTCTGTGAAATTCTTTCCTTCCCTGTGCATTATATTTAGGTTCTGCTGTATTGCTCACCACTCCATTATGTGGTCACCTTGGAGTTGCCTTGAATCACCTCTGTTTACTCTGTTCTTTGAACATCTCAGCTCGTCCTGTTACTTTTTATTGTTTTGAAAAGGCCTTTTGAACACTCTTTTTTTTTTTTTCTTTTTCTTTTTTTTGAGACGGAGTTTCGCTCTTGTTACACAGGCTGGAGTGCAATGGCACGATCTCGGCTCACCGCAACCTCCGCCTCCCGGGTTCAGGCAATTCTCCTGCCTCAGCCTCCTGAGTAGCTGGGA